TTGGCACGAATTTTTTAGTTTTGAAAATATTTGACGTTATTAAGAATTGAAATCAGAGTATTTTCACTATCAAAAGTTTAGGCTCATAAGTGAAAAAAATCGCAAATAATTTAGGAAAAAACATTTGTAAAGTGAAAAATACCTTCGTAGAAGTACAAATAAGACTCCAACTATCGTTCAAGTTTCTTACATCTAGATTTACTTTGCGTTAAGAGTAGATATTTAAGTATTTCCAATTTCATGCACTATTGTCTAAGATTGTACGTTCAATACATCCTTAAGACACTCCCATTTCAATGTTATTGTAACATTAAAATTGGTGTCAAAGTTTGTTCATAATGACGTCGATTACAACGTTATAACCGAGGGGGAAACCGCTGAGGGCATTGTGCTGTACAGGTTTGCGGCATTACTGGGCATTACTAAGCATTACTAGACATTACTGGCCTTTTTTCGCATTATTTTGGACATTAGGCCTTGCTGGGGCATTATAAAGCTAAAATAAGATAATAAGATAAAGTAACGCCCATTGGGCATCAGTGGGCATTGGTGTACAAGATTTTGGTCAGCGGTTTTCCCCTCGGTTAAAACTCACATACTGAACAACGTTACATATTACTGAATATCGTTATAATAACATTAATGTTTATTTCCTTACCGGGAGTGTCGTTCACGGCAGTCCTGTAGCAGGAGAAACCCTAAAAGATATGTCTCAAATAAAAATAATCCTTCGATTACGAAGGATGTCAAGGTATCTGCGACGAAGCAACGCCGCGTCAAGTTGGATCGAGGCGCGCTTCGTGGTACACACGGAGAGAATTTTCTTTTAAAATTTATCCTAAACTTCGCGTAGTTGTGGGCCAACGTGGCATTTTGAAGAACTTTATAAGATTTTTTTAAGTTTTACATACATTTTACTAGTAATAGATAGGGGAAGTAGGCACTAAGGCGCGCTACTCATTAATTTTCGGCGAGAAAAATAACAGGGCTAGGACTAGACCAGGATTCGAACCTGGGACTTCCGCTTGCCGGGCGAGCGCTCTTTCAACTGAGCTTTTCAGGCCCACATAACGTATGATACATACATTTTACTAGTAAAATATATACCAAGTATAATTGCTACAAGCAAAATGTACGGTAAAATTGCAAAAAGCTTTCACGAAATTCACCGAAATGCCATGTTGTCCCACGATGACATGATTTTCAGGCTAAATTGCAAGAGAGAATTCTCTCGTGTGCGAAACATTGGCGCTTTCGCACGGTGCGGCGCGCGAGGAGCGACGGGGACGGTGCCGAGCACCGAGCCGACACATGTGACATCGTGCGCCGGGCCGTTTCCGACCGGGCCGAATAAATTTCGCCAATAGAACCGAAACCGTATGCGCGTGAGAAGGGCAGGGCGGCAAGAAAGGGAATGTAGGGCGCGCGGAGCGGGCGGGCGGACACCAGACGAGTTTTTCGCGCGAGCAGACGCGGTTCTTCATCCGTGGGAAGAAGCCAGACTTCTGGCATGCCCTCCCCTCCCCCCTGCCCCCTCGTCATCGCCGATGAACTGCCGTGATAAATAACCCCCGAGAAAAATCGCGGACGTTAGCACGATCGAGAGGCGTGAAGTCCGGATTCGACACGCTTCCTCGGCCGATCTCTCTCGGTTATCGCGTGCATCGCCACTACTGTATCATCGGACTGGGCCTCGCCTCGCCGACCCCCCCGTTCGGGGCCTGACGCGTTAATTTGTCGTGTACAATAGCCGCGAGTTCGATTATCGTCATCCTCGGCGAATTACGTGCCGCGAGACGGCGCATAATTTAATTTCATTCAAGAGTCTCGACGGGCGCTCGTTGGCGGCAGCGACGATCGCGAGCGGCACGCGCGCTCCCTTTTTCTTCGCCTCCGGCTGACGATACGATATCTCTGTTATCTCAAATCATTCACAATGCGTAGCTCTCCCGATCTCCGCGCGTTCACGTTACAGACTGTAGCGTGTCATTTTCATATCGCAAGAAAG